GGAAAAATTTAAATCTATTGCTTTGGCTTACATTATGTCCAAGAAAAATGTTCAATGATTTGATGTCTTATGCTTTTTGAGCTGAGAATTCTTTTTATATTCAGTAAAATGTTTCATTGCAGAGAAATTATGGGTTTTCTAGAAAACTAGAAACTTTGTACTAAGAGTACTTGAAGATGTTGAGATAATACAAAAGTAATAGTTCTTTCTAAATATAATTAGTTCATATTATAGTTCAATATATGGGAGTAAATTTAATTTTTTGATCATGTTTCAATTTTTTTCAGTGACTTTCTTAAATTTCATTACTACATTTCCACTTGACTTATTTATCCATTTTAATAACTATTATTAGTGCCAATGTTTAGATAGCTTAAGAGGATAAAGAAGAAGTTTTGAAGCTATGTTTTAAGATGTATTTTAAAAGATCTAATTAAGTAAAAAGTCTTCCCACCCATTAAAAATGATTTTTTTATTTGCCAATATACTATTCAGTTATAAATAACCATTTTAAAAGTGATTTTTAGCTGTGTTTTAAAAATTTAAATGTTAAGATATTGCATTTTACATGACTGTAAATATATTTAATGCTGCTTATTCAAATAAGCCAAAAGTTTCAATTTTCTAAAAGAACTAATTTTTTGACCATTTAATTAACATTGAGTAGAATTTAAATATGGTTGTCTTAAAAATGAACAGCCTGGGGAGTATACATTTCCTAAATACTATAAAATGAAGGAGAAAATTTCACAACTGGTGAAAAAAAATTAAAGCAAGAAGAAATGACTATATCTCATAATTTTTACTCTAATGACAGTGGTGACAGCAGCAGCATGCCAACTGGCCATCTTTGAGATTTGGAGCAGAGTTAAAAAAATTTTTTTTTGAGAGGGAGAGGAGATGACTATAACTAGCAGAGTGTCAGTTTTTCTTAAAGAGACTAAAAATTTGAGATAACTGATAATAACAATTTAGTTTGTTTGCAAGCTAAAATGTTTAGATACCATTTTGAAACCTTTATCCTAGTTTATTTCTGCTGTAGGTACCATTTTGCATGCGTTTCTGATTTTTTGCTCACTTGAGTTTAGGTCAGTGGTCCTCAGAATATACTGTGCATCAGGATGACATGAAGAGCTTGTTAAAGTATTGCTGAGCCAACAGTAGAGTTTCATACTGAGTAGGTCTGGGCTAGGGCCCGAGAATATTCATTTCTAACTAATTTGTGTATGATGCTGATGGGTTTGGTCTAGAACTACGTTTGGGGATATGCTGGTTTAGTTGAATTTTTTTCTTTATTTTTTTTTAAAAAATATGTTTTCGTTGATTTTTTAGAGAGAGGAAGGGAGAGGAGAAAGAAACATTGATGAGAGAGAAACATTGATTGACTCCCTTTTGCACGCCCTCTATTGGGAACCAAGCCTGCAACCTACGCATGTACCCTGACCAGGAATTGAACCAATGTCCCTCTAGTTCATGGGTCCTTGCTCAACCACTGAGCACACCAACCAGGTTGCATTTAAGGAGAGCTATATGATTCTGACATAAGAAGATCAGGAACAGTTTTGCATAGTATTTGTTACATGTCTTTATAAGAGTGGTTGACTTGGTTCAAAGGAGAAAAGCATAGAGAAAAAGACACATATGTAATAGAAAGGGAAGTTGAGAGAGTAAAAAAAAGAGATGAGGGACAGTCAGTCAGAAAGCAAGAATGAACATGGAGAGATGCATGAAAACAACGAGACAGAAAGAGAGAAAGAGAGAAGAGCCCACAACCTACAGAGCTTGAAAAACCCCCACAAAAACAAAAAAACAAAACAAAACAAAAAAACTCAAAAAACCAACCACACAAAAAACATTGGGAAAAAGTCAAAGAGGTGAAAAAAAGAAAAAGAAAAAAAAAAGAAATAAAATAGATATATTTCTAATCTGATTTTGTTCTGATTAAGTATTGTTTTTACAAAAATGAAGGTCATGCTTGTCATCAGAATTTAATTCTAAGTATAAAGAAATAGGCCTTAATTTTTTTTTCTAGTGTTATAGTCTCTCTATTAAAATTCACTAGGCCCTGGCTGGGTAGCTCAGCTGGTTAGAGTGTCGCCCTGATATGCCAAGGTTGTAGGTTTGAACCCTGGTCAGGGCACATACAAAAATCAACCAATGCATGCATAAATAAGTGGAACAACAAATTGATATTTCTCTCTCTCTTGCATGCACTCTCTCTCAATAAATAGAATTTTTAAATAAAAAAACTCATCAGGATTGAGAGTACTGGATATCATTAAGGGCCAAATACACAAGTCTACCATTTTATCTTCTTTCAAAATAAACTATAGTTGTATTTTCAGATGTGGAAAAGCTTACCCACCTCCTGACTAACTATATCAGAGTCAGTAGGATGGATACACACACACACACACACACACACACACACACACACACACACACACACACATACATTTATATTTAACTATAAAATCAAGAGTGTAGAAAACTCATTTCTTCAGACAGTAGCTACTATCGATATTTCAATAAGATAGTAAATATATAAACCATGGTTATTCCTAGAAGTACTTAACTTGTTTAAGATACAGGAAAAAAGTCCTGCAGCTGGAGACTCTGAGTCAACCAAGTGTCAGCATTAAAGCTTGTGGGAAAAGCAATGATAACAGCAACTGTGGTAGAATTTGCCAAAGTGGCTTCAAATGTTGTCTTCTCTCAACCCAAGCTCCTTGCAGTGTGACTGCAGCTGCTTTCAGCGGGGAAGGGTCCCTCTCATTTCCTGAAATGCATCTGGCCTGCGGACTTGCCACAGTAAGGATGGCGGTGGAAATCCACACCACATTTCTGAGCGGAGGTCAGGAGGCCTTGCAGACTCTCACTTCACTCCTGGGTGTCATGTGCCTACCCTGAGGACAAGCCCGCTTAGCCTGCAGGGGACCACAGCTGAGTCACCGGCTGTCTCAGCCAAGGTCCCAGGCAGGACAACCAAGCTGAAGTGCAGAAAACCACATGGCTGCTCTCAGACAAACCCAGCTGAGTGCTGACCACACAATTGCTAGCCAAGTAAGTGGTGACTGCTTACGACACAAAGTTTGTAATAGAGCTGTAGCTGACTCACACACCAGCTAACATTTAGTGAGGGCCAATTATACGTCATATACCCTGCTAAACATCTTTAGACACATTATCTTACTGAATCCTCTTAACATCCCATGGATGCAAATACTCTTATTATTCGCACTCTGCATAAAGAAACAGCCATTTTTGCCCTCCTTATGGCCAGGATTCATGCCCAGGCCTTCCAAGCCTCATCTCTAGACTCCAATGCCTCCATCGGAATGTGCTGGTTGGTGAGTCTTGAAAAACTTACATAACTTCAAGGATTGTTGCTCTTGTTATTTGGTCTCTTCAAATTTAGCACTAAGGCAGGAGTTCCCACCCCTGTCTCACAGAGAAATGACTTTTGGAGGTGAATTGGCTGCTCCTACCAGGTTCCCTTCTCTGCTTCCTGCTACCATTTGCATTGGCCGGGAGCTCGCAGGTCACTCTCCCTACCTGAACCGCAAGCAGAAGGAAGGGGACGTGGTTGGCAGGGAGCAAACACTTTTATTTTAGCTTTAAAAATTTTTCTGTAGCATTTGGTTATTTTAATAAGATGATCCATCCACCTATCTATTTATTTGTAGAAAAGAACACATATGTATAGGCATTTAAATCAAAGGTTACTATAGCTTAAGCTCTGCAGTTTAGCTGCTCTTGAGTTACTGCCATCTAGAGACAGCATTCCAAGAAGTTTAACTTCTTTAAGGGGTGTATTAAAAAGTCTGCGATACTAGAAGAACTAATAACAGCAAGGCCTCTTCAGTGTAACAGTTCTTTATGTGGCACTTAACAATTGTCGTGCGATGTCTTTGTCTTCCCCAAATAGTCCCTTATTTTCCCAAGAGTGAGAAATCGTTTTATTTTACATTATTAACCAAAGCTCATTTTCTCACTGTCAGATCTAGCCAGTTCAAGTTCTTTTACACATTTGTGTTTTTGATGCTTCAGACATTTGAAGCAAGTCCTGACAGCCTTGTTTGCCCAGGTATACTAATTGGCCAGAAGCTTTATAGGATCATAAATATGGTTGCTAAATAGTAGGTAAGCTGGACTTTGTGTGTGTGTGTGTGTGTGTTTTAAGGAAGTCTCATTTTTCCTTCATAACTGCAGTAAGCAAAAGATAAGAAAAACAGAAACACTTAGTGAGTGCCTGCACACTTACAATCTTTTACATTTAATCTTCCCAAATTCTTTTAGTTTAGATACAATTTTTGAACGCTTTTATCACATGAGGAAACTGAGGCAAAGAGAGGGTAAGAAACATTCTCAAGTATGCATATTGGTTATTGTATTTAGGCTCAAACTGGGCAGTCTGGCTCCTGTGCCTATATTCTCAATTTCCATTCCATTCCACCTCCAAGACAGTAACCAGGCAGGTTCTCTCATTAAAAAAATTACTATGTGCACAATCACCACTTTCCTGAAATATTGGCTGTGATAGTAATACATAGAAAAGAATGGATTTTTTAAAAGGGGGGGTTGAGCGGCTCCAACCACTTTATTTACTTTTAAAATGTATTTTTATTGACTTCAGAGAGGAAGGGAGAGAGAGAGAAACATCAATGATGAGAGAGAATCATTGATCAGCTGCCTCCTGCACGCCCCACACTGGGGATTGAGCCTGCAACCCAGGCACGTGCCCTTGACTAGAATTGAACCTGGGACCCTTCAGTCTGCAGTCCGATGCTCTATCCACGGAGCCAAACCAGCTAGGGCAAGAATGGGTATTTTAAACTAATGGAATAAATGTAAGATTTCCTTAAGTGACATATATTTTGTATTTCTATGTAGTTTCCTCTCTGCCTATTTCTATCTTTGTTACAAGAGGTCTTAGGACTTCATGATCAGTCAGTCCTTTTGCCCCAGATTCTTGCTGTAATTACAGGCGCTTCACTCACCACAGTTTTCTTCATCGGCCTGGTTCCCACAGTCATCCACGCTGTTACAATGAAGATACTGAGGCAAGCACTTGGTGATGTTCCCACAGGGGAAATAGCCGAGGGAGCACTTGACCTCCTGTCCACTCCCATGAGAAACTGTGGTGAAGAAAGTGGAGACAAGTTTAATATGAAGGCATTGCAAAAAAGTGGTGCCCCAATAGTTTATAACCATTTGGTCTTCTCACCCCGGTGTTACCCTTCATGTGTGGCATCCTCACCTTGCTTCCTAGCATCTATTTTCCAAGAACCTCCACTCCAATAGAATGCTCTTTCCCACATTCTCTGAAGATGCCAGGATTCTCCCCTCTTTGCATGCTCCTTCCCACCTGGAATGCCCTGCCCAGCCCTCTTTTTTTCTTTTTTCTTTCTTCTATGAAATGCCTGCCAATCTTTTATAGTTTAGTTCAACTCTCCTCTTCTCTTTCGAGATTGTTTTAGCCAGTCATGTAAACAAATCAGGAATTTATTGCATTCTTACTATCAGTTCAGAATCAAGCATGGTCTGGGACTAGAGGAGAGAGGGATGCACATGCCTTGTGCTCTTCCCTATACTCTCCTAAGGGGAAGGCCCTGTGCCTATAGTGCTGAATGGAACAGAGTTCCTGCTCTTTCCAGATTGGCTTGTTGTTTTATTTTTTTGTTTGTTTGTTGTTTTTTTTCACTTAGCAACATGTATTCAAGGTTTTTACATTTCTTTCATGGCTTAGTACCTCCTTTGTTTTCAGTGCTGAATAATATTCCATTATTCAGTGCTGAATAATATTTCATTATGATAAATAAACATATACAATCGTTTATTTATCCATTTACCTACTGGAGAAAATCTTGGTTGTGCCCAAGTTTTGGTAATTATTACTTTTTGTTAATCCTCACCTGAGGGTATTTTTCCCCATTATTTTTTAGAGAGAGTGGAAGGTAGCGAGGGAGAGGGAGAAGGAGAGAAAGAGAAAGTGAGAAACATTGATGTCAGACACACATTGCCTCATTGCCAGGGATCAAATCTGCAACCTAGGTCTGTGCCCTTGATTGGGAATGGAACTCTCAACCCTTTGGTGTGCAGGCAGACGCTCTAACCACTTAGCAGATGGGCCAAGGCCAAATTTCGGTGATTATGAATAGAAATGCTGTAAATATCCCTGTGAAGGTGTTTGTGAGGACATAAGTTAACTATTTCATTTTAAAAAATTTATATAATTTCAAAGGTTATTATAGACACCAGTATAAGTCTGTGCTTATTATGCTTACCAATTTTGTAAATCTTTGTCATATTCTAGAATAATTGTTAATCATAAAGAAATAAAATCAGAATAGTTTGAACAGTTAATAAAGCTTATTATGTAAAAATCTATTTGTGGTCTATCACTAACTCATGAAAAGAATAAAAGTGGCTATTTCCTTGATAAGGAACAGTGGGACATTTTAATAATAGAGCAAATGACATTCTTATTGAAAAGGAATTTGTCAGGTTAGATAATTTGATAAAGGAAATAGTCAAATCTGTGTAATAATGAGCTGTGTTGCAAACAATTTTCTTACATGTGAAATTATTATAAAATTATTTATTAATATTTTTTTCAACAAATTGACCAAAGCAAAGTCAAAACAAAGATTTTTATATCACAGGACATAAAAATGTAGAACACCACACATTTAAGAAGTCTGATCTGCATTTTTATATACTTATTAAGTATTTTTTATATACCTATTAAGATATAAAGATATAAATGATCAGAAAAATTCTTTGATAAATTGTCTTCCTTCAGCCACATTTATTGTTTGAAGAGGTTTTTTAAAAAAATATATTTTACTGACTTTTTACAGAGAGGAAAAGAGAGGGACAGAGAGCCAGAAACATCGATGAGAGAGAATCATCGATCAGCTGCCTCTTGCACACCCCCCACCGGGGATGTGCCCACAAGCAAGGTACATGCCCTTGACCAGAATCAAACCCAGGATCCCTCAGTCCACAGGCTGATGCTCCATCCACTGAGCCAAACTGGTTTCAGCTGAAGAGGTTTTAACTAGACATCTAGGTATATTCATTGATGTGCATAAATTACTATGCATGTATTTTCTATTCAGTGGACAGAATAGAAAATACATGCATAGTAATTTATATATACAACATTTACTTCTGCATTTTCCCCTCTTTAGACCTCTAGATACAAAAACTATGATTTCAAACACAATTCCTAGCCAACACTATAAACACAATTCCTAGCCAACACTATAAAGTTCAGTCTCGGTTTCTTTCTTTACAATATTGGTATCTCCCTTCTCTAACAATGAAAAACCAGCTTTCTAAATTCTTATAGTTATTACCTTGACAAATCCACTTCTGCATGGGTGCCCTCCCCAATCCCATTCAGCTCTGACTCCCTATACTGGGCATCTTTCTGATGTGAGCACTCTCCTTGCCCTATTTGGGATCTGATACACTGTGCCAGGCTCTCTCTGT